CTTCATCAGCGACCTGGATGAGGGCGTGGAAAGCACTCTGTCCAAATTGACAGATGACACCAAACTATGGGGCAAAGCAAACACACTGGTGGGAACAAACTGAATCCAGGTGAACCTGGACGGGTTAGGGAAGTGGGCAGGGAACAACAGGATGCAGTTCAACAAGGACAAGTGCAAAGTGCTGCACCTAGGAAGAGGGAATCACCAGCACATCTATAGGCTGGGGGGTGACCTTCTCAGCAGCACAGTGGCAGAAAGAGATCTTGGAGTCATTGTTGATTCTAAAATGAACATGAGTCATTAATGTGACGAAGTAATTAGCAGAGCTGACCTCACTTTGTCATGCATTAGTAGGTGCATTGCGAACAGGTCCACGGAGGTGATGCTCCCCCTCTGTGCAGTGCTGGTCAGGCCGCAGCTGGAGTACTGCATCCAGCTCTGGGTGCCGCAAGTCAAAAAGGTTGTGCAAAACCTTGAGAGGGTCCAGACAAGTGCCGCTCGTATGTATGGTTAGAGGCCTTATGAGGAAAGGCTGAGGGACCTGGACCTTTCCAGCCTCCACAAGAGAAGACTGAGTGGGGATCTCACGGCAGTATACAAATTCACCTGAGGGAGGGGGGCAGCAGGGAATAGGAGATGCTCTGTTTACCAAGGCACCCCTTGGAATAACCAGTAACAACGGCCACAAACTGATGGAGAGTAGATTTAGGCTGCACATCAGAAAGAACGTCTTTGCAGTCAGGGTTACCAGAACCTGGAATGGGCTCCCAAGGGGGGGGTGCTCTCCCTTGCCCTGGGGGTCTTCAAGAGGAGACTGGACAAGCACCTGGCTGGGGTCACATGACCTCAGCACTTTTCCCTGCCACCGGCAGGGGGTCAGACTCGATGATACTTTGAGGTCCCTTCCGACCCTAGCATCTATGAATCTATGAAAGGAGAGGAATACACAGCACACCCAGATGCTCCCCCCACCCTCCTCTGTAAAACAATGACAGGCCCAATTGCCAAACTGAGTTCAGGTGGTCTGCACACACCTAGACCTACGCCCACAACCACAACTGGCAGTGGGGAGCAGATGGTAGCTTGCCACAAGGCTCACCCTGAGGTTTGCCCTGCCCTCCAGGAACAAATCCCAGAAGTGTTTTTGGCCCCTTGGCAACCCCCTGTGCTGTCACTTGTTACCTGCAGCAGGGGGTCCCAGAATGAGGAGTCTGGAGGCGGGATAGTACCAGTGGTAGCACCGCGCAGATTGGGGCGGGGGGGCGCTTCTCTCAGGGGGTGCGCGGCCAGTCTCCGGGGGTGCACGTGTACCTGCATACACCCCCAATGAAAGCGCTGCCCCCTTCCACCCCCAGAGCACGTGTCAAAGTGCCCCTCTAGTTCAAAACCAACTGACCGGTAGTGGCAGCTACTTCTCTATCCAGGCGGCAATGCCAGAATCCAGTGACTTTCATGGCTCGTTATCATCTATCAGACCCCTTCTAAAGCCGCGCTAACACCCTCTCTTCGTTTCACCAGTCCTTCAGCTGCTGAAGAGAAGAGCGCAGCTCTACCCCGGCTGTGCTCTGCCGCCCCCTCGCTGCTCCCGGCAGCGCAGCTCCCGTTTCGCGGCCCCGCGGGAGCCGCGACCTCGGCGGCGAGCCGGGCGAGCCGGTGCCGGTGCCCGCCAGGCCCGGCTTTCGCTTTGCGGATCGGAAAGCGAAAGGGACCCAGGCGATGGGAAGGGCGGCAGGGCTCGGGGAAGGGAAACGACCTCTTGTGCCCGGTCCTGCCTGGCCCGGCGGAGGCCGCCAAGGATGCAGCGGCGCCTCTCGCTG